CTAATTTTTTACCTAAAGTGTTGTAGACATTATGAACACATTTAGAGTAAACCTTATTATCACAGTATTTGTGGAATGAATCAAGAATTGTGTGGAATGAATGTGGTAGAAAACTGATCTAATCCAATTTTCCATTCACAGTAGTAGAAGACTATCTAAAGCTGTTCACTGTATCTCACCAGCAAACATACATCTGTATATAACATATTTGGAAAATTATAATCCCTTTATGTATAGGTATAGGTGTATTACAATTTGCAGAAGTCAGTCATAATGTAAGAAATAAAACATTTGCTGTTTAATTTATAAGTAATATGACAAAATGGGTTTTTAATACTACAAACCCAAAAGGATTTTAATACAAAAATCCATGATAGGATCTTTAATGTAACAATTTTCAACAAGGTTTTTATGCTTTTATACAAACATAAGCAGAACACAATCAATATATTGACGTATAATCATCAAAAACAAGGAAGATATAATATAACTGAAAACACTTGTATGTTGCAAAAGTGTCCTCAGAATTATTCAATATAGCAGTACATCTGTCAGGCTTCTCATAACTTATATGTATTTTAAGTACTTAGAAAATTTTTTAAACTGTATAAAATCTGACGTTGTCAAAATGTTACCAAAAATAAAGAAATGTTGTTGTTGCAAGTAAAATAACTAAAGGAGGGTTTATAAAACAAAGAACTGTCCCTAAGGTCACCTGTTGTAGCATGGTTTGGTCATTTTGGAAGCTAACCAGCTTTGTGAAAATGAATTAGTTGCAGCTATCAAATGTACCAGAAATGATGATTCTAGTTATGTAGGAAATTTTGGGTAAAAATATCAGATTTATGACATGAACACAGTGTCCTGGCAATGAGAGAACAGCTCAGAATACAGTGGAAAAAAGCATTTGTTTATTCAGTGTAAATGTTTCATTACCTAATCCATCTAAAAATATAACAAGATATATCTCAGTACTTTTTGAATAGATGGTAAATAGTGGATGAAATACAACAGGCATAGCAATGAAGCATTACACTTGATTCATGTTGTGAAAGCCTCTGATTAAATGTCTTTATGAGGACATTTTCTCTTTTAAGTGACATATGTCACATATTTCACATCTTCAATCCAAAAAAACTTTGTATATTCCATCACAGTGCATCTATTATTTGAATGTAAAACTTGTATCAGAATACCAACCAATCACATATATTCCACCTGTAAAGAACTACTGAGATGAAATAATGGACATTCCCAGTTTAAACATGCAGTATGTACACTGTTAATTGACCACTTGGGATATTCCAAGTTCCATTCACTTAACTAGAATAACAATAATTAACAGGCATTGAATAATATCTAAATGCTTGGATTCCAACTCGGAATCTATTTATAGTCACTGTGCCAGAACGCACCACGCAGCCATTAGTTTAAATAATCTTAGCTTTGGTTAGTAACCATGGCAACCAATGAGAGAATCCATAGAAATAAGGAGCGTACTGATGAAGACAGGAAGTGGGCTTGGAAAGCAGCGTGAATGCTGGTTCATTAGCAGCATCAGGAGCTGAGGAAATATTGTCATCACTGACAGATAAGAGAGCAGATGCCGTGTAGAATATCAGCTGGCTTCCTTTGTGCTCTATCGGTACAAACAATTGGAGATCGGGATACATAAGAGCCTTATCAATGATGCATGATGACAAAAAGATAACCACAGTTAAGAACAAGTAAGTATTGACAAATAGGGTCCATATGACAAGATAGAAAGTGACAGGATCAAAACAGTTGCTAGCACTGGAGAACATGTCTATTTTGTCCAAACAGCTAAGTGTGTGAATCATGATGATCATCTGAGATGTGGTGGAAACACGGAACAAAGGCAGCATTGCCTTTCATTTTCATATAACAAAGAAAAGTGATAAAACATACTGGATCAAAACAATTTGCCTCTTCCTGTATTTCTACAGAACAATACTGGTGGCGCTGGTTATAATCATAATGCTGGTATTAATACTTTATTGTTCACTGTTTTTATTGTTATTGCCTGGTAATTCTATTTGCCATATGGCACAGGTTCCCTGAAAAGTACGCTTAATAATATTTTAATATTTAATATCCTTTGCAAATTAGAGGCTTATTTTAACCTTCTGTGCTAGGATTAATATTTTGAAAACAAGACCAAAACCAACTGTTTAAGTGTTAGAGTGGTCAGGAAAATGAATAAACTATCTGGTGAATGACGTCCACAGCTGATGTTCTCTAGTGATATCCAATAGCTACGAATATTGCCAAGGATTCCCAGAATGTGCATATATTGTACATCATTCTTTGTACTTCAAAAGCCATAAAAGTCAGGAATCTTTCTTGGAATTCTCAACATCATAAAACTAAATGGAACCCCGTCACAGGAAACATAATGTGTTTTTTTTTGTGGTTTTCAATAATACACCTTGAATATACATATTACCTGCCTCATATTCAGGTTATTTATCATACAGATCTATACTGTATTGAAACTTATCCCAGGAATTCCATTACTTAGATTACAGCTGAATCTACCCCTTGAGAATTGGAAATAAAACCCCGCTATTCACCAACATATCAGTCTAGCAGTACCTTAATCTCAACATGCAACCTCAAAAGGCAACCTTTCCAGTGAGAAATACACAATAAATGCCACAAGGTACAATGATAACTGACAGCAGTAATTAACATCTAGAGTCAAGAAACAAAAGGATAGGGTATAATTGGTCATACTATAGGCAAAATGGTGCAGGTATAAAAACATGTAAATATGGGTAGTACAGTTTTCTTAATTTCACTTTATTATTATTTTTTTCGTCTATATATTTATCCATCTTTATCTACCTATTTATTTATTCTTTGCTGTTTAACTTAAATTACACAGGCAATTAGTTAAGATTAATAAATTTTCAATGCAATTTTGTTCCCAGAAAACAAGAAATATTCCTCAATTTTGACAGAGATATATATATGGAGTAAGGGGCTGAAGAGTTGATCCAATAAATTAACCTGGACCAATTAATACATTTACCTATTATCATTCACCTAGAGGAGTACTGCTGGGTTCCTCTGTGAACCCCATCTCATAAACCAATTCCCCTAAATGTTAGCAATCTGCCATTACACAGTGTCAATAAGTTCTGTGGTTGTACAAAATATGCCAAATACATCTATGTGTAGAGACTACATGATGCCAATAAGTTATCTAGGTTCATATCACGTTACTCATAGGTGAGAAATAAGTTTTGGGTACACTTAGCATTACCTTGATGTTCTTCAGATCTAGAATAACTTACATATAACATGTTTTCATGTGTGTCAACAAATGCAAGTTGTAAGTAACTTATAATGTACATGCAGGACATACAAGCCATACACTGGCATACTGTATGTTGAAAAATTTCTAGCTCTCTCATAATTTTCAATAACCTCAATGTATACCAACATGCTTCAACATACTCTCAACTTTTACAGAACCTACCCATACCTTATATATATTTTGTTGAAAGAAAGACCAATGCCCTGTTGCAGGTGTTGGGATTAACAAATGCCGCCTCTTATAATAATGTAGTATAATACCAAGGGATACACCACTCAGGAACCCCACAGAGCAAAAAAAAAAAAAAAAAATACCTGCAGATTACAAGTATCTATGTATTTTATGGAAGTCAGTGATCATCACCTAGGACAGCATGTTGTCCAGATGGTACTGAGACAGGTGTTAACTACAGGTGATTTCTACTATTACTGTACACTGGGTTATACCTACAGCCCCAGGTGGGGTTATATCACAGTGATTAAGTCACCTGAATGCCCACCTCTGCTAGAAACTAGTATCCCACAGGGTTTGTAATGAGATGGAAAACTATACCAGGGTTTAACTCTTACTCCTTAACTGTGGGCCACAACAGCAAAGTCAGCTATATACAAATTTAGATTGAAAATGGAAATTAAAGGAAGATCAAAATATAATGTAGTTTATGGATCTTCTTAACCAAGGCACTAATATTGAACTGGCATTCTATTGTTACATCTTTTTTTAATTCTTTTTTTTTTTTCATCCTTTAATTGAAAAACAGAACAATTAAAATCAATTAATCTTTGGCAAATTTCAGAGAAAATGCCTTCATCATTGCCCAAGATTATCATTTAAGGAATTAAAGTTAACAGCTAGTGCGCATTTGAGCTGATCTCTGGGTGATATTGAACACTCATTCAGTAAACATAAATACTTGAGGAAGCAGCAATGAGGTTATGTGTATTTTCACCTCAAGGTGAGTAATGCTGCTGCCACTCCAGCCTCACACAATATACAGGAGAGTGCTAAACAGGTGTACTAACCATGTATAAGGGATCTGGTTCTACACTGAGGAGCAGGGAAGGCTGATCTCGAGCTTAGCCACCTCATTTGATTTACATCTCGAGGTAACATGATCTATTAACAAGAAAAAAACCTAGATGATGAGGTTTATGGAAAGCAGTAGCTGGTTGTGTTTGTGTATGCTACTGGTAGAGGTAGCACAGTCAACCTATTAGTCAAACCTCTATGTACAGTGCCAAGAGGCTTCAAGCCAGGAGTGGTCTAGCCTCTGAAGTCAGGATGGACACAAGACCAGCTGAAACATTATTCTGGTAGTCTTNATCGGCATCGGCATCGGCGACGACAGACGCAGGTGATGGCAATATGTACAGACACATCTGTGTCTGTACATAAAAATGGTCCATTTGCCTCAAAAATTGAACTAGGTCCAATGCCATTTCTCAAACTGGATCAACAAAGGGGGTAAAAGGGTCCATTATTTTTACAAAAATAAAAACCCCTTCAAAATTGACGATTTCTTATGACAGTGATTTTATACTCTATTAGAAATAAAAGCTGGTGTACTTCTTACACTCTACTATGTTAGCACAACAAGAGAGAGAGAGAGAGAGAGAGAGAGAGAGAGAGAGAGAGAGAGAGGAGGAGAGATGCTTACTTTAACTAGAATCTCCTTGCAAACTTGGTTGCTGTCATTGTGGACACTGATGTAGCTGGAGAAAGTCTCACCCAAAAAGATGTTGCTACAAAGGATTAAGTTATTCTTTTCAGTGAATTTTCTCAACGCTCGTTAACTTATTAATGTACTTTTTACTAAAGTGACACTGCTAACTCTTCAAGACTTTCAGGAGAGTGCTTTTTGAAGGAAAAATTTTTTTTTTTTTTGGACTGAGGAACTAACATTTTTGTCCACTATTTCAACAGATTATCAATTGTCAAACTAACAAAAACATGATGATCAATATCAGTGTAAACAATGCTGATTAAACATTAAAATACTTTTTACAGGTGATCAAACAATACATAGAAACAATAAATTCATGTACATTGTTAGCAGCTTAGTGTATGCTTTCACTAAATCAGCCATGTATCAAATATTAGAACACACCATCAGGTGAATAAATAAAATATCATTGCAGCACAAGGTCCTAATAATAACAAAGCGCATGGTAGTACAGTTTATTGCAATTACAATTAATCTGAAATAGAAAATACTAAAAGGCTGCTATAAGAACATACTGACATACATAAATTACATACAACGATATACTGAAAATGCTATTAAGGATTATATTCTACATATGTGACCATTTCAGTTATCACCGCATGAGTATCAGATAGCTTTGAATAATACCAGGGATACCATAAAATACTTACCCAAAATTCTGTGGTAGAGTCAACAGCTCTCCTAAGCCAAAGTAAGGGGTCTCTTTGTCCGTGGCAAGGTCTTTGGCAGTGATGTCGTTGAGCGTGTTGCCAGGGAGATCTCTCTGGTCACATGTCACTGGGTGAGATACCATCATGGTCGGCTTGGTCAGCCGCATCACTGGAATAGTACAGTTCATTTCTATCAATATATGGACACAATTCTTGAGAGCACCAGTCCTGCATGCATTATTGAAGCAAACAAGCAGACAAACAAACACACAAACAAACAAACAAACAAACACAAAAAATAAAAATAAAAAATTGCACATTTTTCTGGAGATATCTGTATGATGCTACCAGTGTCTGCTGTGCAGTAAAAATCCCTGTTGTCAAATCACTGCATTCAAGATCCACAAAACATATCCCTTATATATTCTAAATACTTTCTAAATGCATAAATTGGAGCAATTATCTAGCATGCTACCTGCACAAGAAAGGAGATGCATCACATCTGTTAGCCCTGCCTTCCTGTGTTAACATACTGTTCCCAGCTAACAGAGCTGTCCCAATAATATACAGTCTCTAGTTCCACTAGTACTGACACAGTGTCTCAAAAGTTTGTGGACATACTGGCTTTAACATTACCATTTATCTTCAAACCAACTTTTTGAACAGATCTGAATAAAACAGAATGTGCTGGTAGGCATGACTCTGTACAGCATATTACTCATTAATATTAATGCAGATTCATATAAAACACTTTAAAATAGCTGCAGCAAGAATTAAACATCAACCATATATTTTTGAGTTCCCCTGTAGAAATCAAAAGTTCCCTGGATATTTAACAGAAATCCATTAATTCCATGAAATACTGGTCAAATTTCCATTAGATGGGCCTGTGCTAATCCGATTTTCTTTCCTATGGAGGCCAATAAAGTATAGGCGAGATGAGAAGTCAGTATTAGACCATTATCAGGATTGCACAGTTGAACTCCTGTCGATATTGGACATTCTACAGGCCAATGGTGTCATAACTGTCTCTGTGGACCAATGAAAACTTTTATTGTCCTGAGAGCCATTCTCACGATCCAATAACTTGCAATATGCTTTGTTTTGTTGATGGAGTGTGTTATTATTACTCATCCCAATATCACATGGCTTGATGTATGCTACTATACTGCTCTTGAATCATTTATAGTTATCCTGGGGAGAGAGAGAGAGAGAGAGAGAGGCTGCATTTTTTTTCACATTTCACTTAGTAATTAAATTCACTCCAACTGTTTCATTTTGTACAACAAGAAGATTTATGCAGCTAGATTAATCAGCATTGGAGCTAAATTTTGAGATTTTTTTTTTTTTTCTAAAACTTTCTTTTCATTATCTATCTTGACGGTAAAGATGGCAAATTTACAAACACTAAACAGAATATGCTTCTTATTAAGACTTAATGCCAGGAATCAGGAGTGCCCAGATGCACAATGAGCTAAATTCATTGATTGATCATCATATTTTGGCTCAAACCTTTAGAAAGGAAAGCAAATGCAATAAAATATCTTTATGACTGTGTTTACTGGAGCATTAAAAATGTTTGGGTTTTTCAAATTAAGTTTGGGTTATCATATAGAATTTGTAAGCACCATAACATTAAAATCTTACATTAGGTGGCAGAAACTGGCAATGGCAAGGCATTTACATAAGATAATGTCATAACATTGGGGTAAATTTTCACTGTGATCTGAATTTTATATAATACCATGTTTTTTTATCATCTTACTTTTTGTAAAATGCACTGCATTTTGACAAACAACTAAAAGAGACTTATGATTAGGCACTTATGGCCTGAGCAATATATAATCTAATATATGCAAAATAAATGAACACAGTGAAATAAAAAGGCAGATGTCCTGCATACTTATAAAAAGTTAATGATCAATCATATTTCTAAAATTAAGAACATAGTTTTGAACATTCCACCTGGGAATGGTTTTTATTACACTTTTAAATATATATTTTTAAATTTTTAATGCCCTTATACTAAAATTTTCAATTTTCTTTGGAATGGTGCACATAAAAGCTCCTCTTTATAACAATATGTCTTCAGTCAGAAGTGTCAAATTTTGAATATCATACATTATCTATCCTAGAATAAAGTGGCATAAAATGTGTCAGTTGTGACAGTTAAGCACACCTCAGCACATTCTTCTACAGGAACAGCCTGCCTCCACTGGGTACTTAAACAATAAAAAAAAAAAACAATGCTGTGCCCATCCTAACTACTTTCTAAATGTTAGTGTAGGTTTCTATGTGATTGATTATTATGTTGTTTTTTTTTTTTCACATTAACCTTGCCAGTCGAGAAGACCCCCAAAATCTTGCAGGTCCTCTGGCATTTCAAGTGGTTGTGACACAGGTTGATATGTGTACATACAGTATATACTGCTATCACTTTTATGTGGGTTTATTTTTATTTTCTGAATTTAATGCCTGTATTGTCTTCTAGGAAACTTTTATGAGGAAACTTAAAATGATAGGCTTTTTCTATATAACAACAGGATCAATTATGTTTGATAGATTTTGGTTGATTATGGTAAAGGAAGTTTTTGAACAAAGACACATTCAACAAAATGCAAGGGATCATCTTTGACCACATGGCACTAAAATTTAGCCCATATGCTTAATTGGCTAAAATGCTTTTTGCTGTTTTTCACATATTTATTCATCAGTATTTTCATTCCCCTCCCCCCCCCCCCATACTTTCTCAAAAAAGGTTTAGAGTTCTATAGTGAGCCAAGAAATGCTTATCAACAGGATAATTATTTTTTCCCTGAAATATAAAGCAGACAAACAGAATGAAGTATATATATATATATATATATCAACCAGGGAGGGATGTAACTCACTGTCACATCATCATCCAACCCTTCTCCACACTAATCAATTATTGCCTCTGCACATTTGCTTTCCTGACACATCTCCATTTCCGCCTTTTGCATCATTTTTTGTAGTTTGGCAGCTATTCAGTAGATTAATGAATCACAATAAAAAACCCTGTCAGAACCAGCTCACACTACACAAAATGATACAGAGTCCCATGGCACTTAAACAATCTATTTTTTTTAATATAAAAACTTCTTTTATATCTTCTCTTAATGCCAGTAGTAATTATAAGCCACCTGATAAGTGCACCTGCCACAGTAGCCAGTAAATTACCTGTGGTCTACTACCTGCCTACTACTGGCATCTGATCAATTGTTTTGAAGTACCGTTGTGCTTGCATAGACTGCTGTTGTGACTGGGAACAAAGAATTTACATGCTACATATTGGTAATGTACCTGGATGTCAATTCTACTCAAACTTGGCTTGTTACAACCCTTAAAGGTTATGTAAACAATACAGTGTTCTTGGCAAGGAACATACATTGAAATTTCAGGAAAGTGGAATCGTTCCACATGAATCAACAATAACATATTATGTGCTGACTGCAAGACATGATGGAACAAAATGAAGGGCAAATATATACTGATGTAAATATTTTTAAAAAAATCTTTGCACACACAAAAACCAAAAACATTTAAACATCAAAATTATCCTTTATGAAATAACTAAGTTAAACTCAATATGTTAGTTGACAATATCTAATTGTTAAGAGTTCCTATTATGTGGCTAGAATTCCCAGAGCAGTGGATACAGTTACATTCCTACCCCCTTCCCCCCCAGGGTCAAGTGGTACATATGGCAGAGTAGATCTAATCCAAGCTGCAGCGGGGCCTGCATTGCCATAGGCTTAACCTTATTATTCCATCAATAAATGCAATCAAAGTAGTTAACATACACAATGCATTACAAATATTATGAAAATAGGGCAGTTCCTAACACAAACAGCAGCAGGCAGGGTTCTCGCTTATTTGTTAGTCCTTGACGAAGAGACGAGATATATATATGTATGAGGTTTGGAAGAGGAGGTTTATTTTACTGTCAGTACTGTGAGCAATGATAAGTGGACTACGTAATGAAACCAAGAGCATCTTGATAACAGGATGTCATAATATTTCTTGGATTGCTAAAGATTATTAAGGTTGGAGCAGACGTCACAGCAGCTGCTGCCATATCACACATACTAGCATGAATATGGAGGCTATATCAAGGTAAGTATTTGCAGCATAATATGGCTCATGTAATCTAATTTTTACCTAAAGTGTTGTAGACATTACGAACACATTTAGAGTAAACCTTATTATCACAGTATTTGTGGAATGAATCAAGAATTGTGTGGAATGAATGTGGTAGAAAACTGATCTAATCTCATGTACTATTCACAGTAGTAGAAGACTATCTAAAGCTGTTCACTGTATCTCACCAGCAAACATTAATCTGTATATAACATGTTTGGAAAATTATAATCCCTTTATGTATAGGTATAGGTGTATTACAATTTGCAGAAGTCAGTCATAATGTAAGAAATAAAACATTTGCTGTTTAATTTATAAGTAATATGACAAAATGGGTTTTTAATACTACAAATCCAAAAGGATTTTAATACAAAAAGCCATGATAGGATCTTTAATGTAACAATTTTCAACAAGGTTTTTATGCTTTTATACAAACATAAGCAGAACACAATCAATATATTGACGTATAATCATCAAAAAAAGGAAGATATAATACAACTGAAAACACTTGTATGTTGCAAAAGTGTCCTCAGAATTATTCAATATAGCAGTACATCTGTCAGGCTTCTCATAACTTATATGTATTTTAAGTACTAAGAAAATTTTTTAAACTGTATAAAATCTGAGGTTGTCAAAATGTTACCAAAAATAAAAAAATGTTGTTCCAAGTAAAATAACTAAAAGAGGGTTTATAAAACAAAGAACCGTCCCCAAGATCACCTGCTGCAGCTTGGTTTGGTGACTTTGGAAACTAGCTTCAGCTTTGTCAAAGTGAATTAGTTGCAGCTATCAAGTGTACCAGAAATAATGCTGCAAGTTTAGTAGGAAATTTTGGGTAAAAAAAAATATCAGATTTATGACATGAACACAGTGTCCTGGCAATATCATTCATGAGTAAACAGCTCAGAATACAGTGAAAAAAGCATTTGTTTACCTAATCCATCTAAAAATATAACAAGATATATCTCAGTATTTTTTGAAAAGATGGTAAATAGTGGATGAAATACAACAGGCATAGCAATGAAGCATTACACTTGTTTCATGTTGTGAAAGCCTCTGATTTGGACGTCTTTATGAGGGCATTTTCTCATTAAAGTGGCATATCTCACACATTTCACTTCTTCACTCCAAAAAACTTTCTACGCATATTCCATGACAGTATAGCAATTATTTGAATGTAAAACTTGTATCAGAATACCAACCAATCACATATTCCACCTGTAAAGAACTACTGAGATGAAATAATGGACATTTCCAGTTTAATCATGCAGTATGTACACTGTTAATTGACCACTTGGGATATTCCTAGTTCCATTCACTTAACTAGAATAACAATAATTAACAGGCATTGAATAATATCTAAATGCTTGGATTCCAACTCGGAATCTATTTATAGTCACTGTGCCAGAACGCACCACGCAGCCATTAGTTTAAATAATCTTAGCTTTGGTTAGTAACCATGGCAACCAATGAGAGAATCCATAGAAATAAGGAGCGCACTGATGAAGACAGGAAGTGGGCTTGGAAAGCAGTGTGAATGCTGGTTCATTAGCATCAGGAGCTGAGGAAATATTGTCATCACTGACAGATAAGAGAGCAGATGCCGTGTAGAATATCAGCTGGCTTCGTTTGTGCTCTATCGGTACAAACAATTGGAGATCGGGATACATAAGAGCCTTATCAATGATGCATGATGACAAAAAGATAACCACAGTTAAGAACAAGTAAGTATTGACAAATAGGGTCCATATGACAAGATAGAAAGTGACAGGATCAAAACAGTTGCTAGCACTGGAGAGCATGTCTATTTTGTCCAAACAGCTAAGTGTGTAAATCATGATGATCATCTGAAATGTGGTGGAAACACAGAACAAAGGCAGCATTGCCTTTCATTTTCATATAACAAAGAAAAGTGATAAAACATACTGGATCAAAACAATATGCCTCTTCCTGTATTTCTACAGAACAATACTGGTGGCGCTGGTTATAATCATAATGCTGGTATTAATACTTTATTGTTCACTGTTTTTATTGTTATTGCCTGGTAATTCTATTTGCCATATGGCACAGGTTCCCTGAGAAGTACGCTTAATAATATTTTAATATTTAATATCCTTTGCAAATTAGAGGCTTATTTTAACCTTCTGTGCTAGGATTAATATTTTGAAAACAAGACCAAAACCAACTGTTTAAATGTTAGAGTGGTCAGGAAAATGAATAAACTGTCTGGTGAATGACGTCCACAGCTGATGTTCTCTAGTGATATCCAATAGCTACGAATATTGCCAAGGATTCCCAGAATGTGCATATATTGTACATCATTCTTTGTACTTCAAAAGCCATAAAAGTCAGGAATCTTTCTTGGAATTCTCAACACCATAAAACTAAATGGAACCCCGTCACAGGAAACATAATGTGTTTTTTTGTGGTTTTCAATAATACACCTTGAATATATACATGTTACCTGCGTCATATTCAGGTTATTTATCATACAGATCTATACTGTATTGAAACTTATCCCAGGAATTCCATTACTTAGATTACAGCTGAATCTACCCCTTGAGAATAGGAAATAAAACCCCGCTATTCACCAACATATCAGTCCAGCAGTACCTTAATCTCAACATGCAACCTCAAAAGGCAACCTTTCCAGTGAGAAATACACAATAAATGCCACAAGGTACAATGATAACTGACAACAGTAATTAACATCTAGAGTCAAGAAACAAAAGGAAAGAGTATAATTGTTCATACTATAGGCAAATTGGTGCAGGTATAAAAACATGTGAACATCGGTTTTTATTCCCGAGGGGACTGATGAAAGAGTATACCAACTGGGTAGTACAGTTTTCTTAATTTCACTTTATTATTATATTTATCCATCTTTATCTACCTATTTATTTATTTATTCTTTGCTGATTAACTTAAATTACATAGGCATCTAGTTAAGATTAATAAATTTTCAATGCAATTTTGTTCCCAGAAAACAAGAAATATTCCTCAATTTTGACAGAGATATATATACCGGTATATATATGGAGTAAGGGGCTGAAGAGTTGATCCAATAAATTAACCTGGACCAATTAATACATTCACCTATTATCATTCACCTAGAGGAGTACTGCTGGGTTCCTCCTGTGAACCCCATCTCATAAACCAATTCCCCTAAATGTTATCAATCTGCCATTACACAGTGTCAATAAGTTCTGTGGTTGTACAAAATATGCCAAATACATCTATGTGTAGAGACTACGTGTTGCCAATAAGTTATCTAGGTTCATATTACATTACTCATAGGTGAGAAATAAGTTTTGGGTACACTTAGCATTACCTCAATGTTCTTCAGATCTAGAATAACTTGCATATACTAGTAACATGTTTTCATGTGTGTCAACAAATGCAAGTTGTAAGTAACTTATAATGTACATGCAGGACATACAAGCCATACACTGGCATACTGTATGTTGAAAAATTTTGAGCTTTCTCATGATTTTCAATAATCTAAACGTATACCAACATGCTTCAGCATATTCTCAACTTTAACAAAACTTAACAATATCTTATTCAATGTATGCCAGCATCATTGCCAAATTTTCCATACGTGGCATTTGCTGGTTAAATCATCGGGGTGCAACAAGACCTTTACCAAAATGTGCATCTGTCCAGAATAATACAAAAGACAAACCATAAAACATGTATATTTTGTTGAAAGAAAGACCAGTTGCAGATGCCGGGATTAACAAATGCAGTTTCTCATAATAATGTACTATGAAAAAAAAACTACCTGCAGATAACAAGTATCTATGTGTTTTATGGAAGCCAGTGATCATCACCTAGGACAGCATGTTGTCCAGATAGTACTGAGACAGGTGTTAACTACAGGTGATTTCTACTATTACTGTACACTGGGTTATACCTACAGCCCCAGGTGGGGTTATATCACAGTGATTAAGTCACCTGAATGCCCACCTCTGCTAGAAACTAGTATCCCACAGGGTTTGTAATGAGATGGAAAACTATACCAGGGTTTAACTCTTACTCCTTAACTGTGGGCCACAACAGCAAAGTCAGTTATATACAAATTTAGATTGAAAATGGAAATTAAAGGAAGATCAAAATAAGATGTAGTTTATTCTTAACCATGGCACTCATATTGAACTAGCGTTCTATTGTTACATCTTTTTAAATTCTTTAATTAAAAAACAGAACAATTAAAATCAATTAATCTTTGGCAAATTTCAGAGAAAATGCCTTCATTACTGCCCAAGATTATCATTTAAGGAATTAAAGTTAACAGCCAGTGCACATTTGAGCAGATCTCTGGGTGATATTGAACACTCATTCAGTAAACATAAATACTTGAGGAAGCAGCAATGAGGTTATGTGTATTTTCACCTCAAGGTGAGTAATGCTGCTGCCACTCCAGCCTCACACAATATACAGGAGAGTGCTAAACAGGTGTACTAACCATGTATAAGGGATCTGGTTCTACACTGAGGAGCAGGGAAGGCTGATCTCGGGCTTAGCCACCTCATTTGATTTACATCTCGAGGTAACATGATCTATTAACAAGAAAAAAACCTAGATGATGAGGTTTATGGAAAGCAGTAGCTGGTTGTGTTTGTGTATGCTACTGGTATAGGTAGCACAGTCAACCTATTAGTCAAACCTCTGTGTACAGTGCCAAGAGGCTTCAAGCCAGGAGTGGTCTAGCCTCTGATCTCAGGATGGACACAAGACCAGCTGAAACATTATTCTGGTAGTCTCATAGATCAGACGTGTACGTGACACACTAGTCCTGCATACAGTTAGACTTTTTTAGATCATATTCATGCCACTGTAACTCCGAGACCATATTTAACATAAGGTAGGTACATGCATGCTTTGTTTCGAACAGCAAAGAACTATTTCATCCCAAACCTCTGCATTTTGGTAAGGAAAGAAAACAGAAGAGAGAATCTCTACCCGGAAAACTAGAGTTCTCAGAGAACTAGAACCATTTACACTTCAGCGAGAGGTGGCAATGTATTCACAAACTACAGTGAGAAAAGAGTGATGACACTATTTTCACCAAATAATAGCTCATGGTTTCCTCTTTCCTCCCACTATTTTCACCAAATAGGTTTTACTGATTGCCACTTCAAACTATCTACATACTTAAAGCTGCATTCTCCTGGGATGTGGAGAAAGTCAATTGATAGCTAGAGAGTTCTCAGAATGCTCTCGCCTAGATACGTTTACTGTACATAACTATGTGCCAGCTGTGATCAAGATTTTCAAAATTTTGTTGTATTTTCTTTTGAGATCAGATTTATGAGGATGTTGACTGAACTTGCAATTTTTGTACTGCACACATAATTTTGATGTATATATAATAAGATAATCAAAATATATATTGATCTGGCCATATCCTAGTGAATGTCTCCACAATAACTGCTGTGATAATGAAATGAATTGTTCTACAATAAAACATATTTCATTACATACAATCTTTATCAATTGATTTCTTTTTCAAAAACATCATCAATATAAACAAACAACAGCTGGTAATGAATATTACATTCACAACATGTATGTTACATGATACATCAGGTGGTCTCTTCTTTTTAAGAGATGAAATGATAAATGAGCCACACCATTTGGCACCTAAATATGACTACACAGACATTTCCATCTATCCCAACCCTGCCAGATGAGCAGTATCATTACTAGAACAAATATAACAACATAAAAAAGTAAATAACCCCACTGGAAGAAAAGAGAATGCGGAATATTGTAATCTGCTTGTTTTGAGAATCCTTGCGCTTTATTCCTAGGACAAGAACAATTAAGGCAGCGTGCCAGTGCTTGTGTCTGCTCCTGCGCACACAAACAAAATGGTAGCTATTAACTCCATCATTACTTCCATGTTTTTCTTCTCAGTAATTTTCACATCTTACAAAAGGTTATTTAAAAGCATTACTCAAGATATTTACTCTAGAATTATCCCCTGATTTTTACCTTTCTTGAAGAAGAAAGAGATGCCTTAGTGAGCCACTGAGCAAGGACATTATAATCTTATGGTAATATTCTAGTAGTCAATATATATATAAACGGCTTAATCACAAAAGCCCATATCTATTACTGATTTCCCAATGACATGTTTCTGTCACCTTCATCAATAAAGAATGTGATGAAGTCTTTGCATAGCTAGTATATATATCTGTAACTGACACCTCTCTCTCTCTCTCTCTCTCTCTGTGCTGTCTGTGCTGCGGCAAACTAAGAACAGTTGGCGACATGATGTGTTTTTGATATTTACCAGGAACACATACAATACAGAAGCTTGGAACTACATTGTAAATCTCTACTCTGGCATGTCTGTCTTTAGAAATAACAGGTCAAATTTATCCCTGATCCTGTCTATAAAACACACTATGATATCTATAAAAAAAACTATTAATCCCTTAGAGTGCATTCAGAACACATTTATCCATGGACTAAATATGGCTGATCCACTTAAAATCAACGCCCTAATTCCCTGATAGTCTCCCCGCCTTCACATCCGCCGTCGCTGCAGGGGCCTAGCAATTAAAACTCGGGACTGAGATTTAATCCATTTAATGGCACATGTGGAGGTCAGGAGACCGTCAGGGGATTGGGGCGGCTTCCTTTTTAGTGGGATCCGCCATATTGAGTCGGCAGATCAGTTAGTCCACCGGTAATCTGTTCAGAATGCACTCTTACACGTCCCACTGCTTAATATGCTTGTAAGATGACCCTTGACTCTACCTGTAGGACATTGTAGGTGCTAACTATTGTTAGTATTGAATCATTTATAGAATAAAACAATATTATGGAATTAATCTTTATCTAGTGAAAAGATTCTATCGAATTTCAAGGACACAGGAATAATAAGAAATACTTTTAATCAAGAAGAATTCATTGTTCTTCTTGTAGCATAATAAGGTTGTTATATGTGTTTATTTAATGCACAATTACTCAACAGTGTAAGCTGGTTACTTCCTTAGAAATTGCTAGTTATCACCTACATATATAGCTACATCCATATCATCATCAGCATCATCATTATTATTATTATAAACAGCAGGCCAAAGGAGGCTAGTTCCTAGAGACATAACAGATGTAAAAAGATTTTTTAAATTTTGTATGTCTTCCTCAGTTTTAGATATAACTATAGGTACAAAATAAATTTATGTATAGCTGAATGGTTTTTCTCCATAATGAATTAAGATGTTATATTAAAATGTTCATATTTTCATGTCTGCTGTCTCCAGAAACTGACCTTCCTTAACCTGCTGCTTGTTTTATGAGAAAGCTCTAGGAGTTGGAATGCAAAAGAAGTATACCAGCAAAAAACTCATTTGAATTCTAGAAATCCAATCTTTTTTATTGATGAAGTTGTCAAATTAGTGTCAGGATATTTCCTGACTGCACTTCAAACTGTATAATAAACTAATTTCAACAAATTCCAGTACCAGAGAATGCAAACACAGAGGTATTTGGGATTTATTCAATATGTAAATAAATTCATTAGTGCAGATCCAAGGGAATAATACTGGAATTAGAAATCCAAGAGACTGAATAAATCTGGAAGTAAGAGTAGATTTAAATCCTGGTATTGATCACTTTACAGTGACGATGGTGATGACTGTGATAAATATTGACCACTAAGCCAAGAAGGTTTGACAGCGTTCACAAAGAGACTAACTTAAACTATAACCAAAAATAATCACAAGCGTCCCCAGAAGACCAGATTTTCTATGGAACCCAGTCCTGCCTTTCAATTTCAAATTCTATGTAATATGCTATCTGGTTTTCTGGTTTTGTGAGTTATAAGATATTTCAGTTTATGTTGGTCTTGATATGAACATGGCTTCAAATAGGAATACCCACAGGTTATCAATGTAACACTTAATTTCCAGGAAATGAATTCATACATAAACCTCTATCTACACGTATCTATATGGAATCTATTAATGACCTTTGTTTCTCCTTCTAGGTCACAGCGTGCAAACCTGTGTAATTGACAGTGACAGTTCCTTTGACATTCCGACCAGAAAAAACCAAGACGACATACATACTGGATGATAAAATCAGATAAAGACTGATCAATTGTACACATTCCCTGGAAAAAAAAAGAGAGAGAAGAGAAAAAATCAAGCTTCCCTTCTAGCTATGTATTAATGCTGGATGTTGGCGGCTTGAGTCATATTTTTCAAACCTGTAACCACACTGCAACAGAGAGTGATCATCACAGACAGGATGGTATCCTAGACAACCACGTATAAAACTGTCAAATCATATGGCTGAACTCTTCTTTGATAAATCAGGCCAATGTGCATTTATCATTTGACGACTACAAAAAATGAGGTTGTAATTGAAGTTAACCATAACTTGTGGCACAGATATTATTATTCCAAATATGCAGCTCATTTCCAAGTCTTAAGCTGCCTGTTTTGCTGATAGGATAATGTAGTAGGGTGTGCTCTACAAAGGTTTCAGATACCAGCACCAGAGCAGGCAGCAGCAGTACAAGGCCTACTGCTGTCGGTTTCAGAAGTATATTACAATGATATAATACTTGCCATGCTGGTGAAGGATAAGATATAAGAAGATTGATGAAGTGAATAAAGCAAGTCATAATATCGTGTGGATATTTTAAGTGGGACAGTGAAGGCACAGAAGTGGTGGAAATAACTATTCTACTGACAGACAATGAAGATCAATTTTCACAGTAAAATGGAGATTATTGTGGTCGTCTTGGCTCTGATTGCGGTGATTTCATGCACACCTCCTTCCTCCACCACAGATCCCCAAGAGAGACCAGCAGAGGACGGCAGCAGCGAGAAAACTGACACGACTGCAGGATTACAGTTTTTCCCAAAGGATGGCATTCGCATTTTAGGATTGGATGAACCCCACTGGATTTATTACAATATCAGCCAGGGCATGATACAGCAAATGGTGCACCAAAATGCCACATGGACATTGCATGTGGAATCCCAAAATAATGAAATTCTCCAGTTAATTAGTTTATTCCATGATGGTATTGTTCATCCTGCAGATTATCTCAAATTTGATATAAATCACAAAAGTGGGCACTCGGGTGCGATTGGGATAAATGCTGTCAAAATTGGGTACACATCCCTCAAACTGAAGATTTTCAATACCAGTGACGAGGTCCACACTGGCTCTAATGTTACCACAAGACATGGCCATGAAACAGTTATGGAATACAAAGTGACAATTCAACGTACTCGGCGTACTGTAGATCTTGGCTTTGACTGTGCTATTGCCATTGTTGCCCTGTTTAACAGTTTTGGTATGGGTTGCGTGACCAAGTTTCAGAAGCTCAAGGACCATATTAAGCACCCCCAAGCTGTGCTCCTGGGGTCCACTTGCCAGTTCATTATCATGCCTGTGGTAAGGTTACTAGTTTTTATAGTCTCTTTTCTTACATTTTTCTTTCCCTCCATATTACACTACCCAAGAAATTGAGGCACAACAATTCAAATCTTTTTTTTTAATTATAAGAAGTCTTAGAATACAAACTGTTTAGCTCTCATTACCATTTTTTGTTGTGATTTAATTTGAATTGGAGTTTCAGATTATTTTTCAACTTTGTTACTATTTGATCATAGTTGAAACACCAACAATATATCAACAATTTTTCAAACTCTACACCTTTTCATTCATTTACACACTTGAATGTTTAAGTGTATAAATTAATAACAAATAATTTGATAAAACAATATATAATAATTTAGTACCAGACTTTAAATTTGAAAGATAAATAATTAAAGGGAGCACATTTTTCCTCAACATTCAGCCACAGACCAAAGAGATTCACACCTAAAACTAATTTCCTCCTAATTTTAGATCTCTGAATTCACTTCCTAAGCAGCTGTTTCTGTCTCTTGACTTCAGAAGCGAGACTTGCAGCACCCCTTATTTACCAAGACGTATTTTTTCAGTAACATTGGCAAAGTACATCACTTCAGTTATCTCGTGAGAGCTCAAGTCCTTCTTATATTTCAAACTATTATTAGCATTTCAAAATCACAGACAAAACCAAGACCATTCGAATGCCTTAATATTGATTATTCTGTCATATATGACACAGGTCATTCGTGCCTAACACTATTGATTGGATTCCGTATAAATCTATCATTTACTGTGTTGCAACTAAATGACCTTTTCAGCTAAAGATATGATTTTCTCTGACAGTTGCAATTACAGGGAGACTGCCTAGGGGAGCAGCAAAGGTTACTGCTATGTTCTCAGTAGTGGATGGAGAATTCTGTATCAAGCAATGGCATGGGGTCTTTTCTAAAAACACTTATCATTATATTTCTCTGTTTCTGCTACTGCTTCACCTTGAAAATACATATTTCTGTCCTACTTTGAGAGTTGGTTCTTTAAAAGAAGTGGTAAAAACAGTTCTGGGAGAGCATTGATTCCATGAGAAAGGTGACACTAACCATTGCCCCATTACTAGTATTCCTTTATGAATCAAACTTTTTTGGATAACTTCCAGAAACAGCAGAATGGGGATGCTGTTCCACAGAGGGTGATGTGGAAATACATGTAGATATGTGCACGTTTGCCCAAAATTAGGATTTTAAAAAACTTGTTCTCCATCAATTCATTGGACACCTTTTATTTAATATATCATTACTACCAGTCAAAATTTAAGCACATTAAGATGGATCACAGTTTATTGTGAAAGCTCTTATTTCTGCAAGCTCGGCACTGTATTGTGCAATCCAACTGCATCCTTTGACTGCATATATGTCTCTACATCTTTTGCCTAAATGCCACCTGACAATTTAATAAATTTCATTAGAGTAAGAGGTGCTGTTTGATGAGCCCCACTTCACCAAGCTTTAATAAGACATCCACTCCTGACAGGTGAAATGTTACTGCAGTAAATGAGATTTACTGTGAAAGCTGTGCTGCATTCATGTGCATTACTGGAAAACTTTTGAGTCTATATTGGCTAAAATAAATCCCATCCTGTAACATTTCCAAAGCCAATATCTGAAAAAAAAATTTGCCCAAAAGCAAATACAAATAACTTTGATCCATGCAGATGAGAGTGAGAAATTAAGCTGCACTTTTTTTACCTTTTTAAAAAGAACTTAACCCAATTTTTTGGCACCTTTCAGCCTCAACTTTTTCACCCAGGATGTCCAGGATTAATTAGTGTCAGGGTATTAGCCAGGCAACTGTCTATCCATCTTCTGGACGAATCTAAAATAGGGAATTCCCTCAGTTTTGGACAGTCATTTTTTAAATTCTTTTTACTGATGAAGCAAACTGAATCTAGATGAATCATCTTTATAAGAAAATGAATTTGCCCTTACTATTCCAAATTCCTGGCGATACCCCTGATGAGTGTTCTAGGATTTTCTAAGTCTTATTTCCAGACACTCTGTCCAAAGCTCAATAAATTCACTTTCTGTGGTCTTCTTGAAAAAGAAAAAAGGTTTCACTGTACTCTTTGATCTCTCCCTGTCAACCTGCTAGATCAAACAATAGGCACCAGCATTGAACTATCTACTTCTGACATACCAGTTCTATACATTTTCACTGAAATGTTCCATTTGAAATCAAATTACTTTGTAAGGCAAACTTTCTTCATTTTTCTAAAAATTACAACAGATAAAAATTTCTCAGAGTTGTTAGTCTATCTTTGAAGTTTTTTCAATCCACGGGTCTCTTAAGCCTGCTTTGTATAGCCAGCTATACAGCAGTAACCTTCTCTACAGACAAAAACAAATGACAAGGAGGGAAAATCGATACCATGATGTGATTTAGTCATCAAGTGATTCTTAAGTATTCAGTTTTGAACAAAGCATTACAGCTTTATTTAATCCAATATTCTAATAATACCAGGATGTATCAAGTAAAAAAAATCAGGGAAAAAATGAACAATATGAAATAACCTGTGAAACAAAACCAAGTTAAAATTCTCCATCAAACTCAAAGCAATCACTAACGTGAGGTAAATTCCATTTGCTCAACTGCAATGACACCTAATTTGTGATCGATACAATTTCTAGCAATCAATGGTCAAAATAGGAATCTTGTTTTTAGAACTGTTAATTAGTGCACTTGGAGCAGCACTGGAACTTTCTGCATTTAGTCCCTAATCAAATTCTCTCTGGCAGTTCTCATGATGCAGAACTAAGTGCCTATAAATCTTGCTTATGCCTCTTTGATGGTCACAAGTTCTTTTAATAGAATCAATACAGTAGCAAAAGCCTCAGATCAGGTCCTACGGTATGCAGAAGAGAAATTGAAAATGCAAAGTTCACACCTTCAGAGACGCTCTTTGTTATTTTCATAGGATCTAAAATATCGAACACTTCATGAAAACTGTCCATGTTTTTTCAAGAGCTAATTTCTGTGGGGATTAAGGGCTGGTCAAAGCTGTTATCTGCAAATTGCCTTTAATGCACTTGCCAACTAATGGCTTTTAAATTGATTTCAAGTGTCCAGTAAAAAACCTTTAAAGTAATAGATGTTTTTCAATTAAAAAATCCATACTAAACAGGACCTTTGGGGAAATGTTCCGTCTGCTACTTTTTTTTAAATACTACATGAAAAATATTTGAGAAACAAGAAGCTTGCCTTGCCATATAATAAGTGATTTAGTTATCATCTCTGTGCCCCAAACTGCTACTTTTTAAAATCCTAGAGTAAAACACTGTGGGAGGAGAACACACTCTAGATAATGCCACACCTAACACAATGCACCATTTTGAAGATTTATTTAGCTTGATAAAAATCAAATTGTACTATTTTCAGAAAATCTTTTAATTTTAATTAAAATATATACATAATAGGGATTATCTATAATTCAACTTTACTATTACATTTTTACTCATCACAACATCAAATCTAATCCGTCTCTTTCAGCTTGCCTTTGGTCTTGCCAAAATCTTCAGTATGAATGATGAGATGGGTCTGGGTCTGTTCTACACAGCCTGTATCCCCAGTGGAGGCTTTGGCTACATGCTGGTGATGACCATCATGGACGGGGAGAGGACACTGTGTCTGGCCATGAACTGCCTTAGTATGCTGGTGGTGCTGGGTAAGGAACAATACTTGGGGACTTCAGCAATATATATATATATATATATATATATATATATATATATATATATATCAAGAAAAAACTTGAAATCTTAATAATTTTAAGAAAAACATACAATTCAAGATTGGAGCAATTTTGAAATGAATCACTCCAGAGGAATAAGAGAAAGAAAGAAAACAAGTCTAAACATTCAAAAAATGTACGTAAGTTGAGCTGACTTATGTATAACTGATACTTCTGACATTTTCTAGATGATATTTCTGATATTTTCAAAGTAACACACACCAGTGAATGCCTATCTGGGGTAGTGCTAAAACTCGCCAATTCAGTCAAATGCTAAAACTGACTTAAATTGGCTAAACAAAATAGGTTTGATTTGATTTGTTTTATACCCCGTTCACACTACGCTCAGTTATCCGGATAAATTGCGAATTAGGTCACAATTCGAATAAATGCAGTAGTGTGAACGCAAGAGGATTTTTGTAATGCGCATTTTCAAAATCCTGCAAGCGAGGTGGATTTCTAAGCGCGATCCGGATAACTTACCGGAATCGACACCTGTACAGATCTAACTGCGCATGTGTGCAGATAAGTGCGGGTATCTATGAACGCTTGTTTATTACTTTAGCGATTGCACGAAACGTATTTGGAGGTCACCACTCACTACAACATGAGGAAACAAACTTATTCTGCCATCTTATACTTCTCAAGAATGCTGGAATGTCTTTAGAGTTGCATTTGTCGTCACAAATTTTTGTTGGTATTTTAAGATTTCCTGTGCGGCGCATGCGTGAGTGTTCAAAACAGGAAGTTAAACCTGAAATTTTCAACGTGTAATTCAGTTTCGCAAAGCGTGTGTGAACGCAATACCGAATCGAATTCCTCACAAAAAATTCGGATTATAGAAATGCGCATTTTTGCAACTGTAGTGTGAATGGGGTATTAGTTAAAATTCAAAGCATATGGAGGAAAAAGTGATGAAAAAGTAGTGATTTGACTAAGTGAAAAAATTTTCTAGTGCTACCCTAGCCTATGATAGCTTTTTATAAAACTCACTTTAATCATAAAGCTCCATCTTATTCATTTCAGTGACTGCTCCGCTGTGGATGTTAGCCCTTGGTCAGTTCTTCCCTAAGCCAGCCCAGTCCAGTGATCCTTTGCTCAATATGGAGATCTGGGTGGCCGCCCTCCTGGTACCCTACGCCTCGGGACTTCTGCTCAAACAATTTCGACCAGAAGCAGCTGCAGCTATGCTGAACTGGTTGATCAAACCGCTCTTGTTGCTAGTGACCATACTCTTTGTGACTCTTGGAATTTACATCAACCATTATATGTTTGATGATATACCTGTCAAGCCAATGGTTGCCAGTGCACTGTTTCCAATGAGTGGGTTTATGCTGGGCGGAGGGATTGCATTCTTGGCTAAACAGCCAAAAGACAATGTGAAAACAATAGCCACAGAGACGGCAATATCCAACTGTCTGATAGTGATAGTGTCTTTGCGTTTCTCTCTGGACCAGCCCAGTGCAGACATAGCCTCTACAGTTCCTTTCTGGGTGATCATCTTCACCCCAGCCACCTCCGTGTTACTGTGGTTTGGACGCAAGGTCAAACACTGTCTCTGGAACTACTGCGAGAAACGCATCAACCAACAGAAAATCTACGAAGAAGAGTTTACCCTAAAGAAAGGTTTTGAAAGCATGGCCAACAATACCGCTTTCTCCACAGCAGCCATCTCCATGACTAGCAGTCCTGACAATAAGAAGGGCAAAAATGCCACGTCAAATAGTGAGACAATCAGCAAGAATAACAATGATAAATGTCACGATCCACTGCTTGATCAGCATGTGACGGTATTGTGACTAGACCATGACAATCACTCTTTTAGCTGTGAGGTGTAGCACTGTTTTTGCCACATATCACCAGCTGTATATATTTTCTGCATAAACTGGTATGGGCAAATGAAAACCTCAGTGTCTTTTGAATACAACATTCACATTTTCTTGTTTGTGATAATGTGTTTCCAATGAAAACACACTGAAACATGTTAGGAAAATGTATTTTGTTGGTTTTCAATTATTTATCTAAATTAAATCATTTCTCAACACTTTGCCATTTGATTTTTTTCCATTTTAGGATGTTATTGAATGTATCGCTTTTAAATTTTCTCCTTTATAATTTACACATTTTGATTATTTTATGTAGTGGTTTTCACCAAAGCTCCCTCACATACTATTTCCATTATGCTGTATGCTGATACAATTTCAGTATATTTTTTTCTGCCAGTGTATAAGTTGCTTGCTTGCATATTCAAGGATAAAAGTATTTAATTTGTTATATTAAATGAGACGAGCAGCACTTCTTTGGCATTCTCAAGTTTTCATCACATATTGTAAGTGATGTGCATAAGCAGAGATAAAACCAGACGATGTAAATATACCATTATGTGACATATGTATATTGTGTAACCTATTCCCAGGCACATTAATCAGCCAAATCTGGGAGCATCACAAAGATGTGAGAGAAAAAGCAGTTTGCTTAATCATCCTGTGCCTCACAGTATATGATGATAATAATTCTCATTGCTGAGCAACACCTCCACCCATGACTTAATTTATTTCCCAGACAAGTGAATACAACATGCCTGTTTTGTTGCTTATGCCATAGCCTTGCCTTAATATTTATCACACAATGATGGTAAAAGTATCAAATGATATTTATGGATTCAGAGTCTCTGATCTCTATTCAGAAATATTTATAGATATAATACAGTAAATATTTGCTGTGATGGTGTATTGAGTTTTGTAAATATCCACACATTCAGACACAGTATTAAATGTTGTGTACACATGTAAAATATGTATACTGTATTACCATATATTCTATATAGGACATAACACACAAATCCTATGGAAACAATTCACAACTGAATTGAGTGTTATGATATGCACTATGGCACTGACATTTATGCTTGATCAATGTTAAATTATGCACTGTGTTCATGAACTTGGTGCTGTGCATCTGGACTTTTTTCATTAGAATTTAAGTCTGTGCATTTTTATATACTCAAAGGGTTCTATTGATAATTAATCATAAATTAAATGCAGTATTATGAATTGAAACAAAGTGAAAATAAAGCAGCAGTGCATGCCTTTGCTAAAAACTTATTGAACTTAGATGAAATGTTTTATAGGACCGCAACAAAGTAAATGAATACAATCTAGAATCATATGAATATATTTCAGAGTAAATGTTTATGTATATTTATGCACCAAGTAATGAATAATGTAAGTATTTTGCTTTCACAGTACCGTAACAAGTACAATAAACAATGCAAACATTTAAAAAAATGTCTGGCTAAAAATAATAATAATAAAAGTTACATATTCAGTAAACATCAAAAAATTTGACATTTCTTTGCTTAGAATGAAATGATTGCAACAGGCTGCCACCTTCTCTTCCTTGTTTATCATTATGAAAACAATAGCAGAGCCTGCTTACTGTGACTAGAGGGTAAGGATTAAAAGTTTAAGGCCAAGAACTCGGAAATGCCCATCATATAAAGGCAAGATTGAACAGTTAGGGAAGTCATCTCTACCTTGAATGCTACTAAAGCATAAAAGGAAAAAAAATGTGTTTTTCTTTTATTTTTCTTTCAATTTGTTTACTTTATACAGCCTTCCTGATTGAAACCTCACACTCAGCATGAAAGACGAGTTAGCTAAATATTTTATTATGATAAAACAACTTTTAGTTTGGGTCACATAAATGCTGTGCAATGTATCTACAGAAACCAGCTTTCACTTTCAACCACAATGTGAGTAAAAGATAATTCACCTGGAAAGAATTTTGGTTTCATGCCTAACAGATGTCATATTGGGTAAGAGTAATTGCAGTTTACTCTCCTATACTATTGTGATTCTCACAGTGATGGTTCCTTACCAATTCAGCATTTATTTTAGCTTCACATGTCAAGATATGGAAAATAAAAAAGGTTTAAAACCTACATGTTTTTAATGTTTTTCATGACAAAAAAGCAAGATTTATCTGTCACAAGTCTAGTTGAGCATGAAAAATTAAATCTTTAATGAAGCTACTAAAAACATTTGGTCAGGCGCTTGCCAGAGAAAAAAATGGACAAGAATTGGCTAGTGCTTAATCTGTTTTTTGCTTTGTTTTCATAGCTCAAGTTAAGTTTAAAATTTTTATTTTCAACATTCCAAGTCACATACATTGATTATTACTTGTTTAGATTTTGATGTTCATTTTCATTTAAACTAGGACATACTGTGTGTATTTTCTAAAAACAAAATTAAAATCCAATTTTCACAAGCTGAAGTCTGGAAAAAACTAGAGGATCAGAGAGGCGATACCGCCTCCNGGCCAACAATTTATATTTATTATATAGGGATGAGAGTGAAAAAGTCTGAAAATATGTCGTGCATATCTGCATTGATCTCAAAAATGACACTTTCTACTACCAAAAAGTCGGAAATCTGCCCATAGTCCAAAAAATCTCATAACTGCATTTGAAAAACATTGCACAATATATAGAAAAATGGCCAACACCTCATTTGACCACATACTCCAATAAGCATTAGACAACACCTACATCAAGTCAGTAAAATGAAACAGAAGTAAAATACAAGACATTGTGTTTGTTGTGCAAATGAAATCATATTCATCTAAAACATCCAACAGAATTCCCTTTGAATAGCCAACTGCCATTATCAAATATACATAGAAGGGCTGTTTTCCAAGATGATGCTACTTTGTGTTGACAAAAGTCATTCATCATGCACCGTAAGTTGACTCTTAATTTAAATATGGAGTAGGGGCTATACGCAGCTGTTTGCAACATTATGTAACAATGGGATAAGGATGTCAGAGGTACTTAAAATGGTCTTTCTTTATAATTTGGTGGACTATCTATATAATAATACAGATAGAGCACAGATATATTTTTTCTGCAAACATTTTTAACACAGCGAAATTGGTACCATGGAAATTCATGCCTTATTACTCCTACTTATGCTTTTTGATAATATATGAGCTACAGCATGATGTTGATGTAAGGAACTGTATGGTGTTCAGCTAGCGTGTCCACCCCAATGCAGGAGCTCTCAAATCTTTGCCTTACCTCTCACCTTCTTAAGTCACACACTGCCAAAAAGTCAATCAAATTTGCTGTTGACAGTGCTATGAATGAGGTAAGATTAACCTGCTTGTGGATCAGTTATGCTGCCATGAAATCACACCGCCATTTAAGACCACCATTAACAAACTCTCTCTCAGCGCATATTTTTACATATCACAAAACATAAATAAGGGTCCTCATGCATGGATTTTTCTGATTCCAAAAGCAGAATAATCCCAAACATTTTACAGACTTTTATCTTTTTATTATTATTATTATTATTATTATTATTATTATTATTATTATGTATTACCTTATTCAACATCTTGCTTTGCAACAACTACAAAACAAAGCCACAATTCCCACTGTATTTTTCAAGGTTAGATACGCATGCAGTTCAAATACCTGTGGGGAGGGGGTGGGGAGAACGGTTGTTCAGTGTACAAGTATATCAGCATAACTTCAATATCAATCAAGCAACAAAAGTGACAATTACCATATTATTTATTCATATCATTCTTTTGTGCTGTTTAAAATCTAAACGCAAATGCATGCATGTAAATGATTAAATAACGTACCTTTCAATGCCAGAAAGTGTTCTCTCTCTTTCCCGGACTCCATCTTGAAAATGATAATCCCGCAGTATCCAGAAGTAGGCAAGAAAATAATTAAATGTAATTAATCAAGCAATAATACAAGTTCAGTGATGTGGTTTTTGAGCAAATACAATAATATTAATCAAAATGTTATTTTCATACTATATAATATCCTTTCTAAAAGAAAACTAATAAAATATATCCAATCAAAGACCTTTTTCATAATTTATGCATTCCAGGGAGGTCAAAATGGCGACAGGAGGAGCAAATTACGCCAGCATCCAAGAAAGATCTCCCAAATCTGGAGTGGACAATGTAGGTTTCTTTTATTTTTAATGCTGTTAGTCGAAGTAAAAATAAATCCCATTAACTGGCAAATGAAATTTTAGGTATGCATTCCAATCATGAACGCTAGCCTAGGTAAAGTGTTTAATTTTTTTCCTGTCAACGAACTACCGACCCTGGCATTGACAGAAATCAGCAGACGATGGTATCGTTTACTAGTATCACAAGTATAAACTAAAGATATTGCACCTGTGCTTTAATAAAACGTGTATAGATAAATAGCTTGTTGTTTCATGATTTTTTTTTTCGATTTTTTTTAACTGTCAATCAGTTGGTATTTTCATAGTTAACTGACCAAATTAACATGGCTCGAGGATATTTCATAAATCTGAGCCAGTTTTACTCATTGATCTTTCTTTTTTGTGTTGCTTATTCTGTTCTGAGCTCTTAAACCCAGTCGTGTTTTGTGTCAATTATTTATTTTAGTAAATTATTAAGAAATACATCTAAATTAAATGCCCACCCCCATTTTGTCATTGACAATTGATAGGTTTGACGTTATTGTAACTTTTTTTTATTTGCCAGACTATGTGTATGATTGCCATTTGCTACCATATCTTGTGTATTATACCACTTAATATCAAGTGAAAAAAAATCATGGGAATCATTTGTTTGAAACATTTATTTCCAGGTGTTGGAATGCAGAGTATGCAATGACATATTTGCACTTCAAGGAGACAAAGTCCCCAGACTGTTATTCTGTGGCCATACTGTGTGTCATCAGTGCCTCACCAGACTGACACCTCATGGCACAGCTGTATTGTGTCCATTTGACAGGCAGCCCACTGATATGGGAGACTCTGGGGTATGGGGGCTCAAGAAGAACTTTGCCTTATTAGAGTTGCTGGAGAAATTGCAGTACCTACACAGAGGGATAACTAGAGTTTGGAGTGAAGATGTGCTGGAGAGAGAAAAACAGGTGATTTTACAAAACATAGGAATAAGAAAGTAACTATTTTTTTTAAATTATCGCGTTTTGATGTGTGAAGCTTATAAAATTGTATTGTGTAGTGTGCATGTAAAAAGTTAAATAACATTGTGTACATTATATAACATGGTCATGGAAAGAAGATCACTCTTAGTATTACATACTTACTGTGCTCACTGATACTGTTTGAGGTAAATGCTATTATCAGTAAAAAAAATGTCTAGGTATCATTCTAATTTACACACTATTTTGTTTTTAACACTGATGGAAATTCAATAATTTTTACATTTATAAATTACATACTGACATGTATATTTCCAGTTGGCAGTACCATGTGATGAGAATGAGAGTCACATGGCAGTATTATTCTGTACAGTATGCAGCACAAACCTGTGTTTGGAATGTTCAGAACTCACTCACTCCACAAGAACATTGGCAAGGCACAAGAGAGTGCCACTATCGGAGAAACCAAGAGAAAATCCTAAATGTCTCTACCATCCTATACATTTAGTAGAGTTTGTGTGCTTGGAAGATTCTTGCCAGAATGCGCCATTAATGTGTTACATTTGTAAAGATTATGGAAGGCATGTCAAACATAAGGTGTGCAAAATATGCCTGTTATTGTTAAATAGTTGTTACATATTTAAGAATTTTATGACAGCAAGTTGAAGTTTTAACTTCAACTTAATGTTAAGAAAATTTATACAAAAGTCTTATGTAATACAGAGTACTAATTTGCACATATATCTCTTTTCTGAAGACATTGTTAAATTTAATTTTGTATAAAGCCATATAAGTTTTATTTCATCCATTATTAATGAGTTATTCATATAACAATTTGATTTTCCTATGTTTCAGCATACGTTGTTGGACACAGAAGCAGAGAATGTGCGTAGTACCCTAAACAATGCTAGACAGCATATCCATTGTTTTATAGAAGAGATCATGGACACAGCCCGCAGACTAGGCACAGTGATACAGCAGATAGAGGGAGGAACACACATGACAGAAAATTCAGATGGGTCCACAGGTTTGCAACAAGTGAGAAATTTTACAAACTTCCTTCATTTAAGCAACAGATATCAGAGTATATAAAAAGTGCAAACAAACTTATCCCTTTTAAGTTTAATAAGAATTAATTTTAAACTGAAGGGGTAAAAGAAGGAAAACATATCTGAGTAAAATATAAGTGGATTATAAACCTTTGTAGACCATTGGCACAGCAGAGCAGGCCCGCGGACGAGTACGGCAATATTTCCACGACCTCCATGAGACTCTTGCCAGGCAGGAGATTGCTGCTCTTACCATTGTAGATACCCACATCCGAGAGAGGCTGTGTATGCTGAAACAGCAGCAGGAAGATATGGGCATTCTGCTATCACAGATATCAGCTGTATACCAACAGTGTGACAGGACTCTACAGGAGGTTAGAGTGGATACTTTGGTCTTGTCTTTTTTCCATCGTGATTATTTTTTCATATATGTTAAAATTTAATACAAAATGTGTACAGAAGCAGTCTTTGTATGTGGCTTTCATTATTGGATTTGTCTGGGTAATTATAGAGAAGTTATCATAGGCCACTGTATATTTCTACCTGCAGTATTCACAAAATGTGTATAATTTCCCTTCCACAAGTAAATGAGTATTCAAAAGATCCAAATTCCTGATGTGATATTTGCCTTACAAATACATTGTTTAACATTTCAGGATGATACAAAAGTAATTGTAGCAAAGCATGAAATTGGCTCCTTGGTAGAGACTGTGAAAACTCAACAACAGCATTTCTCAGAGCTTCCAGAACAGCTGCAGTTGGACCCTGCAATCCCCATCACATTCACCAAGGTCAGCAAAAATCAATCTCCATATCTAGAGAAATAGTCTTACTAATTTGCAGCTGGAATTATGCATATTTCAGTGTTTGAAAAATGTGTGTTTGATGCCTTCAAATGTATTAGTTACAATGTTTGATAAATTGGGATTTGATACAATATGCTCTACTTACAGGGCATATATTAATTTGAACACATTCTGTTATTTCAAAATTTTGTGGATATTTAAGTATATATTTACATGTCAGTTTATTAGTATAATGGTTACAGTATTTGGGCATTTCAGAACATGTATTAAGAAAAGTGATATGGACATTCTGTTTGTGTGTTACAGGACAATCGTGTTCACATCGGTCCTAAGATGGAGATGAGGGTGGTCACTCTGGGACTGGATGACTCCGGCAAAACCAGCATTCTCTTCAAACTGAAACAAAATGAGTTCATACCAACAATACCTACCATAGGTAATATAGTACATGGGCATCTGAAATAGGAAGATTGACTTCCTCCTTAGGATAAGTGTATATGGCAAAGGACCTTAAAACTGTTTTGGGCTGATCTGATATTTATTTGGCTAAAAGTTAAATATATGGCTAAAACAGAAGGTTTCATAGATTTTTTGTAAATGATTAAAAAAAAATAACATTTACGTTCATCCAGTTTGTGTAAATGTTTGAAATAAATTGACATTTACATTCATCCAATGTGTAACTTTATTGCCATGTTATTTATTGATTTTTTTTAAATAAAGTTTTTATCTCCTTTGTTTCTGCAGGTTTTAATGTGGAGACAGTTGAGTACAAAAACTTAAAGTTTACTATTTGGGATGTGGGAGGGCAGCATAAGCTGAGACCTCTCTGGAAACACTACTACTTCAATACTCAAGGTATGCCAGGGGGATGGACAGGGGGGCTGAGAGATAGAACTCACATTTGTATGTGTTGAGATAATGTTTGCCTTTACCTGTACCGAACAGTCAATTCCTGGTCATTTAATGGAAGCTAAAAGTACAATGAAAATTTTTAAAAAGTGTCCATACATTCAGAGTTATCATGAATTTGTAAGTATGTATGTATCATAAGTATGTATGTATGTATGATAGCTGTGTAATATCCTACTTTCAGCTCTGATATATGTGATAGACAGCAGTAAGAGAGACAGACTGGATGAGGCTTACAATGAACTGGTCAAACTTGTACAGGAGAAGGAACTGAAAGAGGCTTCTCTGCTAGTCTTTGCCAACAAACAGGTATTCAAATATTTCAGATCTTTCTTTTTAATGACTCTGAACTGGGAGTATGTATTATTTCAGTGCCTTGTTTTGTACACAGATGATCTAAGTGTCTGTATTCTGAACATACCACCTGAGTCTCTCCGCGTAGTGGACATTATCATCTAAAAGTGTCAGACTCCATTTTTGTTATGCCTCTAATTCATTGGGAGATTTTGTTGAAGAGAAATGCATGTCAATTTCCTGGTATTGATTTGAAAAATTGTAGAAATTTTCAAGATTTTTTTTTTCATTTGTAAAAGAGACTATCTTCCTTTGATTCCATGGATTATGAATCTTTGAATTTACTTAGTGTCTTTTATATGCCAGTCTTGAGGAAATATTTAACTGATCATACCTTCAAACATTTGGAACAGCTATGAAGTAGCTGCAGTTCTCATATTCTGATAGGTCTTCATTCAATATGGGTACTTAACCTGAGAATTTTGTCTTTTAACAGTCTACCAGATGCTAAACTTTACTGTTTATGGATGCTGTTTTCAAACAGATTACTGTAATAATTCATTTATATTTCAGGACATTGACCCCTGTGTGACCATAGAAGAAATCACAGAGAAGTTCAACCTGTTCAAATTGTGTTGTGGGCGCAGCTGGCACATTCAGGCCTGCGATGCCAAGACTGGGACAGGGTTGCATGATGGGATAGAATGGCTGTCCAGGCAACTCATTGCTGCTGGAGTCAATGACCACTTATTGATTTGAACTTTTTCAGTGAACTCTAAATACATTTCCAACAAAAAAGGGTTAATAAGAATTATTTGGGATTCATGTTAAGAATTAATGTGTTGGGCTTGTCAAAGAACTACTGATGCATAATAGTTTAAACTTAACAATTTCAAGAATACTCGTGTGGTAAGGTAGCCTGAGAATTTTGACAGCTGAGTATTAACACGTAAACCTCAAATTACTCATTGTCAGTATGTTAATATCTGTTTACATGCATTAATGACAACAGCATTGATGTTACTTTTATCACATGATGATAAGAAAATTTGTCGCATGCAAATTGAGATCAAATTTTATTGCGTCTGCGAATATTGATATTAGACTAATCAAAAATAAATTATAACTCTGATATAGTTGTAACAACACTCAGTTTATCAAATTTTGTATCTAAATTTAAGCTTTACGTTAAGAAAAATTTTACTGGATATCTCTTTAGGTTATGGTATTTGAATGTCAACAAATAGGTACATATTTGAAGTATTGGCATCCTGTTAACAAAATGCCAGCAATTTAAACTAATTCAAGCAAATATCTGTGACAATTGTATGCCATTCTGAGAATTTATTCTTGAGAATTTAAGAATTTAATGTTCTTATTGGATAAACCCTTTAGCAGTGGGGATATTCAGATGATGATAGCATAGGGACAGAGATGAGTTTGGTGTCATATGCTGCACAGATCTGGAAGTTTCCTTGAAAGGCACATCCCATGGATTGCATGTGTACCAAGATATACCTTTGTTTGTAAAGAAGGGTCTTTTTTGTCTGCCCAAGCTTCTTGTATAAGAAGACGGGTCAGATAAGCTCTGCTTTCAGACTGCTTAACTATTACACTTTACCTTATTGGTATTTTATGGAATTTTAATTTGCAATAAGTTGGTCACCCTTTTGAATAGACGGTGTTTGTGAATATGTTATATACAGGCCATTGTGAAATTGGTGCTTTTGTTATGGTTGGGTACAACCATGTCATGGTTATGGTCTTTCTGGCCAGGTTGATTTGACTTCGGTGAAGTCGGGATTTTTTTAACGATCTATGTACTGATACAATAAAATATCTCTTCGTTTAGAAAACCTTCTTGTTTTTTTCCTGAGCCCACGCAGAACCGAAAAGAAGCACGTTGTTGCAGACGGTCTTTTGTTCAAGTTTATTGATATCAAATTTTCATTTATTTATTTATTCATGTTTTTTCAAAATCTCTAGCCCGACGACTTTGATTCTAGTTAAAAGTGCTTTGAAAGATTTGTTTCCGATTAACCACAGATATTGGTGTGTTCAAGTATTATCACAATATCACTCGTTTTCAATCAATTTATTTACTTGTAAATATAAGTCAAAGTAATTCAGTCATCAACATCCATTATTCATTATTTTCGCAGTCATTTTATTTTCACCTCTTCATTGATTTTACCCAAAATTTGTTTAACACTCGGTAATATGCTAACACCTTGTGGGCTACTAGTGCTTGTTTATCTCTCCTTTCTAGTGGCAGCTTACGCCAGGGCCAGTAAACGATGTCTAATTTCAGCAAAGCTGCTAATGATATTGTCAATCACTTTCACCTTGTCGTGAGGTCGCCGTAATGGTGAAATCGTATCCGTGGCCGTAAGCTAAACGAATGTTTTGGAATTGTATACACGTCGATAACGACTTGATGGCCTAATCCCTTGTCTTTGACGAAAGTAAATTCATTATAGGTGCTGTTTATTGAAGAGTGGAGAAGTGAAGAGGTCCTGTCTGCGCTGATGGCGGCCTGATGGGCTTTCTATCCGGTAGTCAAATATCTCGATGAAAGTTTATAAGCAAACATGCGACCAGGTAACCAAGTATCTTGTTTCCTACAGCTGAGCAAGTATCAACATTGACATATCGGGGAATAGGAGAGAGACAGACATATGGCCAGCCGGTAGCAGGTGGAAGCCAAAAACCAGTCTCTCAGTTTTTTTAGCTCCATCTGTTATATGTACGCACTCCACACGTACTATTTCTTTTACTTAAATAAGTTATCAATCGACTCTCGGAAATTTCAGTGAAATTCAATCCTGGAGATTATATGCAGTTGATTCTAAAATGAGCAATCGTGTTTTTTTATTGATTTAACTGTTATTTTTTATCCTTAAACTTTATCTTATCTGCTATATAAGTAAATAACCTTTTGTCTCTATTTTGAACTTTGGCTATCTAAAAGCCGGCATTACACTCGTCAAGTCGTGCAGTTTCTTATGACTCATAATGAGATCATACTATTGAGCCCCATATTGTAGGTAAAAGTGTTTACGTGTATTAATTTTCACCTGTCCTCGTAATCCTTCCTGTCCAGCATTAACGTCATATATGGTAAACCACCCATTCAAACAACTTATTTTTCAGTATCTTAAACAAAAGCCGTGGAGACGCGGGTTCTCACTTAAAGTGGAATTGTGCAGATTGCGGCTAATAAGATCAATCAATGTAATACATATAACGCTAATCTTCTGAACGAAAACCATCAATCAGGAACAATGACGTGTTTTGGCTGTTTTTAGATGTTTACTTTTTAAGGTTTTAAAACATTGCATAAATGACCCGGAAGACAGAATTAAACGATGTCAACATGGCGAATTTATGCGTTTTTAATTCCAGTCGTCTCACTGCGTTGACCAACCCATAAGTGACTGAAAATTGAAACGGCCAGTTTTGAAATAGGTTCTTAATCAAAAGCCATCTTTGTAGACATTTTGTATCCAATCTTATCCATTGCTACTCTCGCAGTTCCGATTTAACTTCATTTCGATACAAATATTACGAAACGTGATTGTAACCACACTATAGCGATTGCAGAGGGATTCAAAACTTGTTTTAAACACCTATTCACATTCTTCTCAGTCACGTTCTTATTTCCTGTAATTATGGTTTCTCAATGTTTGTTTTGTCTGTCATGTCTTTTAGCTGACAAACAAAACGTACAAGCAAAGGTTGGCACCAGTTGTTGCGAAAATCTGGCGGCAATGGTAATATAATAAACAAACATCATTTTAACAAACGCTTAACTATATCATTTCATTCTAGCGTGACTTTCCGTATTGATCGACGGTGTAGTTTGTTGAGTGGAGATCGAATGTAACCAATATCACGGTGTTTGACAGTTGCTTAAGTCGGTGACTGATAATATGTAAAGATGCAAATTAGTGTGTTAGCAACTAAGAGACAGTAAAGAGGCCAAAACAAGTGGTAGTTTATTTTGTTTTATTGCATGAGTCAGCTAATTTTTTTATTAAGTGCAGATTTGAATTTTTTGTTTTTGCATAAAGACATTGAAAGTAATGATCTCTGAATATGAGATGTATTACTATATCATTTTTGTTTTATCAGCGTATTGGCTGCCAACGTTGTTTTTTCCAGACTGCAAAATATCTCCTATTTTTTTACCTTGGATTCTGCCACTTTATTTCAAAGAGAGCGCTGTCTCCAAAAGAATGGTTCAATATTTAAGGACCCAGAATAGCCCCTTTAAATTCAAAAAGTTATCACTTTTTTCTTTTTATTTTGTTTTCTAACTTTGATGAATTTTGGCGAATGCCATTTGAACAGGGTTTTTTTAATCTTTTTTGCTGAGTAGAATAAGTCGCATCCCGTCATTGGCTTGGCCTTACAGTCCTGGGTTTCACATTTCTTCCTACAAGCTACTTTGTTTAATGTTTTTCGATTATTCCCTTTACTATGTACATAATGGAGTCTTCAAGAGGTTGAATTAGAATCGAATTTCTACCCACAAGTCTACACGGAATCCACCCAACCTAATCCATCCGAATTAAATTGTCTGAAGATTACTCGTTGCGCGTTAATGCCCAACTGTTACAAATGCAGCCATCGTAAGGGGCGGTTACGTAGACAGTTCAAGTCAAATAGCTACCTGTAAGGGTTGTTCAGCTAATGAAGAGTTTATAGGTGGAGCGATAAGTATTAGTTTTTGTGAATAATGTAGATCTGATAATGTTATTTTGCATTTTTCATGTCTCCTATATCAATCGTTTCTAAGCGATCTTCCCCAATAAATGACCTGAAACCGATAGCCTTAATCGTAAAAACCAGACCGGCAGAAAACTATTTAAAATAAAAGAAACTTAAAACTGCTGCGTCTTTCCCAAGACCTGATTTTTCCTATTATTGTTGTCAGGTCGGTGCTAAGAATTGAAAGCGTAGCAACAAGTAAAATCACATGTATCAAAAACACCGACACGGACCATTAGGAAACGGTTCTTAAGGTCAAATTCGACTTTCATCTTTCTAATTCAACACAGTCCTTTTCCATATCATTAGGAAGACTCCGCGTTACGAAACATACCCGTAACATCTTTTTTCGCTGTTTGTCTCAGCGGGAACCGCACATAATGACATTATTACATGAAATCAAAATTGAAAACTGCGAGAATGTCAGCAGGTTAAGAGAAAATCGTTACGCTTGCAATATGAAAAAATTAAAACCACATAACAAAATTTTTGAAAAGTCTTTTGACTCCCATGGGCTGATTATGCTCCCTTTAACGATTTCCCCGGCGTGTTTTCATAACTTTCGCCAATGTTTGTCCAAAGTTGAGAAAAGACTAGAAAATTCTTTCACGATCACTGACTTAACGCGAAACTTGCGAGCATGACTTTTATTTCATTTTCGCATATTTTGTAAATTTTGCAAATTGGGGGTGAACAACCTCATAACTAACATAATAATAATACTCTTAATTTTCTTTTCTTTTATATTTTTCAATTACATTTTCTATTTTTTTTTTTTTTTTTTTTTCGACAATTTGTGCAAGACGAACCGCTGAAATTTTTTAAAAAGCAAGTCAACGTCTATCAATACTTACAAATANGTCGACAATTTGTGCAAGACGAACCGCTGAAATTTTTTAAAAAAGCAAGTCAACGTCTATCAATACTTACAAATAAAGTGAACATTATTCCTGGTGTTTCTGCGTCAACCGAAGTAAAATTTTCTTTTAAAAGTACTTTCTAAAATACCAGTACTTATAAAAGGGAGAAAAGCGTCCGCTCAAAATCGCCTCTCCTCATCTATTTCACCATTGCTAGCCCACACATGTTCTGGGCAAATTTTTAATTCTGTGATAACACCCCCAGGGATCGTTTTCACGCGTTCCACCGGGCGACGTTGCTCTCTGACGGACGTGGAAATGAACAAAATACGTGTTGTATGTGTTCAAGAACGTGCACCATTCAGCTCAAACAAGAAAAAAATGTCAAAGTCAATTAAGACGCATTCTAAAAAGAAGTATCTCTTGCTAACAAAATGCCAGGACGAAGGTGAACATAAATTTGAACACTTTGTATCAACATTTTTCTTCACTTGTCCTAGCTGACTATAATTGGGTACTAGCAGCCCGAAGATGGAGCGGCTGTGTGGGGTTGTTACTGGGTACGCGCCGAGCTGTGCTTTCAATAAAGCGCCTGGGGTCACTAAAACTCGCGAATAATGCGCTTATTCAATTTGACACGTTTTACAAAAATGATACAGACCTGTTCCAAGTTTTACTCAGTCGGACGCAGGTTTTTGCTTTTTTTATGTCTACAGGTGCCGAGGATGTTTTGCCAGGCATTGCGTCACGTGACAACGTCCACATTTATTCTCACCTTGCCGTTGCACCGAGGAAATGGAGCACTGTATCTACTTTCTTAAAGCGAAATAAAAATTTCCTTGTTGGACCCACCTAACTAGTTGCCGGCCACTTGTTAAAACATTGCGTTCTGTTCATCGGAATTGTTTTTGACAGAGTAATTCGATCTAAAAGCCAAATTTTCGTAATGTTACATGGTCTTTATTTGAAACCAGCATACGTGTTTTCTCCCTGCTGATTGCACCCAAATGGATTCACCTAATCAATGCCATGTGTATCCAGCGCAGAAAACACCGTTCTTCTCGCCTCTGAAAAGATATTTTGCAGCAAGAAGATAATTTAAACCATGCCGTCATACTGTATCTATTAGATAGATATCGGAGATTTGGTGGAAACAATTTAGGCAACTATTTTCGCGTCCTCTGTAACAGTCTAAGCCTAGTTG